AAGGGCTGGCTTCAATTCAATAATCTTTGCAAGCTGAGCACTTAGTGATGACTACATATTCCCTAGCTTTAAATGTATATCCTTTGTTGTTGAGAATTGGTGTTCTTTAGAACAAAAAGGAGGCCACATCAGAAAGCATTAATGCAAGCAGCTGGGAGGGTGAGACTAGAGAGAAAACTAAGGATTACATATTAGCCTCTGAATAATCTTATAATCTAGGACTTTGATCAACATGTATAGCTCTCTATAGGCTCTGCTTTGCCTCTGAAAACTAAGTGCAAACCAAAACTGAGTAAAAGGAAGGGAGCAAATAGATAAGAGGAAATTGGAAAAACATTTGAGTCAGCTACTCACCTCCCTTTTCTTCTTAGTTTTGTTGACATAGATGGAATAGAGATTTTGCAGTCTTACAAATCTGACTTTGATTCCATCACTGTAAGTAGCTCTGCAGCAGAAGTAGTTTTCTTAGATCTGAGTCTTACTCAGTTTCTTTATCTGTGAAATGCAGAACCTACAACCTTTCCCAGCAGAGTTGTTCAGAAGATGATGCTAGGTAGATATGGAATCCATAAATAGAACAGCTGCTATTAATGATAGCTGCCACCTCTTCTTCCTCTGTTCAACTTTCAACACATATTTAATGATAACCTTTTTGCAAAAGGAATATAGAGAAGTCCCAGGAATGGTGAGCAAACAGATAAAATCTGTCCTCAAGAAGCTTGTGCTTCATCCTTTGAATACCACAGTGACCAAAATTCCATCTCCTCCATTGTAACTCCTTCAGCAAAGTAACCATTATTCTGTCAATCAAATAAGATGGGCTCATTTTTGGATCTTAATAAGACCTGTGAGTCCCATCTAATAATATTATGCAATTATTGTTCTAACATCTAGAATGCTTCGGTCTCCCCACCACCACCTTGCTTCCTTTATTCTCTAATGAGACTTTTCTGTTTTTGTTGCTAGATTTTCTTTTACTGTTACCTCTTTAATATTTCCTAAAGTTCTAAGGTTTATCTTTTTCTTTTTACATTCTGCACTAGTGGCCCCAATCTTCATGGGCATTAACTCTTTCAAGGACCCTGAAATCTCTGTCTCCCACATAATCCAGTTTCCTGCGCAACAGGCCTAGGAAAAGACTTAATGAACAAATCCTCAGTAGCAAGGGAACTAGCACAAAGAACAACTGGGATCTCATCTTATTAAAAACCTGCACAGCAAGAGAAACAACCAACAGAGCTACAAGACAACCTATAATGTTGGGAAAAAAAATTTTATCAGCTGTTCCTCAGGCAAAGGTCTACTATCTAGAATGTATAAATAACTAAAAAAAAAAAATCAGACTCCCAAATATAAAGACCCAATTAAAATATGGCCATCTGAAATGAACAGACATTTCTCAGACACAGAAGTGAAAGCAGCAAATAAATATTTGGAAAAATGTTCAACATCACTGGTCATTTGAGAGATGCTGATGAAAACAAAGCTGAGATTCCACATCACCCCAGAAAGAATGGCTGCTATTATGAAATCAACAAATAACAAATGTTGGTGTGGCTGTGAGGAAAGAGGGACACTAGTCCACCGCTGGTAGGAGTGCAGACTGGTGCAACCATTGTGGAAATCAGTTTGGAGATACCTCAAATAACTAGGATTAAAGGTCCCATTTGACCAAGCTACCCCCTGCTGGGTATCTTCCCCAAAGAACTAAAGGAATCAGGGCCAGGGATTTAGCTCAGTGGTGTCGCCACCTGCCTCATAAATGTAAGGTCCCAAGTTTGATCCCCAGTACCAAAACTTAATTAAAAGAATCATACCATACTGATATATGTGCACCCATATTTATAGCAGCACAGTTTGTAACAGCTAAAACTTGGAAACAGCCCATCAACTGGAGACTGGATAAAGAAGATGTTTGTTTCTTTAATGGAGTACTACTCAGCCATAAAGAATGAAAACCTAGAGACATTAATAGCTAAGTGAATGCACATTGAGACCATACTCTTAAGTGAAATAAATAGGACACACATGTGTAAATACCATATAGTTTCTCTGGTGTGAAAAACTAAAAGTGTAAATAAGGATCAAAATGTATAACTGATAATGTGAAATTGGAAGAAAATGTCTAAAGGAGTAGGGGAAGTGGGAGTGGGAGGGGAACGGAAAGAAGAAAAAAATATGAGAAAAGGAAAAAATGGGAAAAAAAAGCCTTTGTAAATAGGGAAGGTTGGAGGGGTTAAAGGGAGGGCAGGGGAATGGGGAAAAAAATAAGAACCAAGATACATCATGTAAAGGTACAAGATCCCAATGATGAATATACCTTTATTGTATGCTTAAAATGTACCAATAAACTTCATTTAAAAAAAGAAAAGAAAATATGAAGTCTGATGAGTTTAGTCACTGGCCCATTGTTGGAGCTACTAATTTCTCACAGTAAAAAGCAACAAGTAAATTAAGTTGAAATGAAGAATTTTTGTTTTCTATACCCATATTCCCCAGCTCTTTCTCACAGAAATGAGGAAATTTACATTTCATATGAGGACTTTGGGCAAGGACAATTTCCAGAGAGTGGGTTTTTTTTTAGACATTACATGGTATTTCCCAAGAAAAGTCACAGAAGCTCCTTCCTTGGGCATCATTAGCTAAGATGTGCTAAGACATTGTCCTTTGTCTAAGATTGAGCATTCATTGATCTGAATGGCTGTGGGGTGTAAGATGGCAAATGATTTGTAAAGCCAATAATTTGGACATCACTTACTATCATAATTGGCCAGAGGTGGAATTAAGTTCTGTGCTACAAACACTGAAAACGTTTGTCTAACAATATATGAATGGGGAGGGGGTGCTCAACTTATGTAACAGAACTATTTTCAAATAGATTATACAAAACAGCTTTGTCAGTAACAGTGCTTCAAATTATTACCCAACTGATTTGGAACCATATCCATAGAAAAATGTGCACACGAATCTTTAAAAAAGTTTTATTCACAATCATCAAAAACTGAAAGAAATCAGTGTCCTTTAATATGTGAAGGTACAAAGGATGAAACATCTATGTATTAGAATATTTTCAGATATTCAAAATAAGGAGTCATTGAGTCACATAAAAATGAAGATGCTAAAGGAAAATCAATCTGAAAATGTACATATTTTACATTTCCTTTTCTACGTCATTGTGGAAAAGTCAAAACCATACAGACAGTAAACAAATCAGTCGTTACTAGGTGTTTGAGGAGGTAAAAGGATTTAATAGATGAACAACAGATTTTTTTTAGAATGGAATAAAGGCAAAATAACTACTCATAAGCATTGTACTGTAGTTTCCCACAGGCATACTTAATCACAATACTGAATACACCACACATGCACAATGAGTATGGTTTACCAATTCTTAACCTACCATATATTTCAACTGGAATCGAACAATTGAGTAAATAAATGGCAGATGGTGGGAGCCAAGTTTCTCACACTGGAGTGGAAGCTTACATACAAGCAGAGCGAGGCTAGCATGATCCTATAGTTAGGCCTGGAAACATCAACATGAACCCCTATTTAGCTGACATAAATGTGGATGGGTGCATACATAATATTTACAAGTAAATATATTGACTCAGATTAGTGTACACAAATATATCTCCTTTCTCTGTAGTTAAGAAGGCCTAGAAACAGCATTACTCCAAATGTCCAAGTCTTGATTTCCAATACCATTTTCCATTTAGAAAAGGACCCATGCTTAGCTCTTTGGGAAAGTGGCTGACTTAAAGACTGCGGCAGAGAATATACGAAATGATCCTGGAGCAATTTGTAATGCCAAAAATTGGGAAATGATCAACGAAAATACACACAAACTATGAAGGTGTGTCAAAAAAAGCACAAGTGCCAACTAAAATCCCACAACCAAAACTGGGACTACTTCAACAACAAAATAAAGGATTATAGACCAAAATTTAAAATAAATATCCACAAGTTCATACTGTTATAAATAAATGATTGAATATATAAACAAATGGGGCAGAATAGATAAATCTCCAATGAAGAAGAAGTCTGAATAATTTATGAAGATCCTCTGCCCTCCAAGAGTATCTTCTCCTATAATTTGGGCAGCACAGAGTGACATCCTTCCAAAGGAAAAAAAGCAACTTCACCGTGGAGAAAATTGACAAATGCTTTAGGGAAGTTATAAAGGTTAGCATCAACAGTAATGTCATGATGATATTATGTAATCTTGACTGCAGTGATGAGGACACTTTACACCTCTCCTCCCAAAAAACCCACTGCTTCAGTCAAAACATGAGGTAAACCCCAACAAACTAACGTTCAAGAAAATACTTGATGACTAAACCTCAAAACTACCAAGGTTATCAGAAGCGAAGTCTAAGGAACTGCCTCAGTTTAGAAGGGTCTAGATGATTTAGATGACTCGATGAAAAGTGTCGTACTCTAAAGCTAAGGAAAACTGGGTCGGTGATTTAGCTCAGTGGTACCACGCCATTGTCATGAGTTCAATCCCCGGTACAAACAAAACAAAACAAAAAAAACCCTAAGAAAATCTGAATGAAGCATGCACTTTGGTTACTATCTTTAAACATGTATTAGATAAATTAAAATGATTTGCTATTTTATAAGTTGTCTGATCTGTATATACTGAGCCTATATTGAGAGCCCGGCACTGTAAATAGCCGGGGTCACAGAGAAAAATATAAGCGGCCTACACTCAAAAACTGATTCAGGAAAAACAAACAGTAAAGACACCGCAAAAGGGAGTAAGAAAGACTGTGGGGAATTGCGGGGTGGGGTGAACTAGCAAATCGATCAATGAGTCAACGAACTAAACTCCGAGACTCTCCTTTTCCAGAGACAGCAGTCACCTCCACCCTGAAGGCTCAGCCACGCCCCACCTTTGATCCACCCAGGCCAACGTGTCAAGCGTGCGCATCATTATTTCGGCGATCCTTTGCCTCGATGTGCTCGGAAGCAACTTCTTCAGCCTGCTTGGACCACCCGGACGCAACTCCCATTGCTTTTACCGCCGCCATTTTGACGGCGGAGGAGTCAGGTTCTGGGACAGCTGGAGTTGGTACGGATGGTTTCCGCCCGCGTTAGCCCCTCCAAATTCGCCCGTCCTCGGGCCTCAGCTCTCGGTATTGCCCCTTTTCCTGCGGAGCCCCTGTCTAAGTCTTTAGGTTCTTTGGAGCCTCCTTCCCCTTCAGCTCAGCTCAGCGTTCCCTCGAGCTCTTGTCGCACAGCCCTGTCTCGCCCGGACGCCCAGGACTGAAAGCCACCGTCCGCCCCCCACCCCGATGGGGACTGCGCGGGCAAGGGTGAGGCGAGTGGTCCTGGGCGGCGAAGAGCGGAGTCGGACGCGGGTGCGGCGCGGGAGGGACGCCGCGGAGCGTTGGGCCTCGTCGAGGTGTCGGGTGCGGTTTAGAAGGTGACGGGATGTTTTTGTTTTGTCCTTTCCCAGGACTGCTTTATAAAAGAAAAGACTGCGTCTGTTTTCTCCACTAGAAATGGCCAATGTGAGTAAATCAGTCTGTCGCTAAACTATTTTGGGAACTTGTTAAGAAATGGACGCTTTAATTATGGTGGCGATGGCGTTGTCAAGAGAAGCCATGACTATAAAATTATGCTTTGAAGACAGTTGAACACATTTCTTTTAGATACACGTGGGTTCTTCAATTTCATTTGTATGAACAAATTCTTGGTTAAGATATTAAGTATTGAGAATAATTTTAGTCTTTTTCGAATCTCTTTGGCTGATTGAACTGAAGAGTGTTTCTGGGTTTTTTTTTTTTTTTAATTTTTTTTTAGCAGTTCCAGTAGGAAATGACTAAAATTCTACAAAACAAGACCAAAAGATATTATTCACTCACACCAGTATGATTGTAAGTGGGTCGTTATATCTGAAGCTGGAGTATATTTCAGTCTAGCCCTTGCCTAGCATGTGCAAAAAAAAAAAATTTAGACACATCTTAGTAAGGGACATAAGATACATATGAAACACCTACAGTACAGTTAGAACATAATAGTTTAAAGCTTTGAAAAGGTACAATTCATAGCTGTTTCACAGCAGATTACAAGCTTTGTGTGGAAGAAAAAGTAGGAGTTTGGGATTGTGGGAGTACTTAGTGGGAAAACCATTTAACTTGAGTTTTGAAGGATGAGCAGGATTAGATAATTAAGATGGGGGGAAGGACCAGAAGTATAGTACACTATATTGAAAGGAATCCCCTCCCTACCCATTTTAGAGATTATTTTTGCCTGCCAGAATGTAAGATGTATGAAAGAGATTACTGAGAGATAAATTTACATTGTGAGGTGCACCCTTGATCAGCCAAACTCAGTAATTTAGACTTTATTTAAATTGTAATTTAATTAGAGCTGTGTGTTAGGAAGATTGAAATGTCAAAAATTAGTGAAGATGATACCCTTGTAATTGGTAAGAATATAGTGACTATAGACAAAAGTTGTAAGAGTAGATTACCTAGCTGGGTGGTTGGCACATGCTTACACTCTCACCACTGTAGAAAACTGAGACAGGAGAATTACAAGTTCAAACTCAGCCTGGGCAATTTAGCCACTTAATAAAATTGTGTCTCAAATAAGAATAAGGGACTGTGGATGTGCTCCTTGGTAGAACACTTAATTGGCATGTGGGAGGCCCCACATTTCAATCCTCAGTACTGGGAAAAAAAAAAACTATCTGAACTAAGTTTTAAATTGAGTTTTTACCTAGCCATAACTCACGTAGAAAGAAAACATAAAAGCAGCATATATATGGCTTCCCAAAAGAAATTAACTGAAATTAAATATTTGACCAGACTTTGTTTTGGTTTAAATGAATAAATTAGTTCAGGAGGGTGAATATTTTGGAAGATGCTTATATAAGTTGTTTGCTGGACTGAAATAAAAATTCAGACAATATGGCAGAAGGAGGTTCATATATCCAAATGACATCTCTGTAACTAAGGGAAGGCTGCTTTTATCTTTTATATAAGAAAGGCATTTTTCAGTTTGTAATTTCTGTTATATCAACAGCAGTTTGGATTTTTATTTTTTAATGTAAAAGGGTGAATAGTAAATATTGGAAGCTTTGTGGACCATAAACTCTGAATTACAGCTACTCAACGCTGCCATTATGGTGTGAAAACAGTCTTTAACAACAAATAAATCAATGGATATAGCTGTATTGTAATAAAACTTTATTCACCTAAGCAGTATTTACCTAAGCATTGCTTTACTAGGAAATAGTTTACTATCCCTTCATTTAAGTTATTCTGATCCAAATATTTTGCTAAAAGATTATGTATGGAAGATATTTACATATTTCCTCATGACTTATAACTTATAAGTCTAGAAAATGAATGTAAAATCAAAATATATCAGGAAGGTGCGGTACTGTATATATGTTAACACAAGGAAAGTGGACATGACCATCAAACTAAAAAGGAGTTACACAGGAGATACTACAATAAAGAAAGGTTCTGAAAATTAAATTTGCTCCAAGTTTTAGATATTTTATATCTTCAGGGTATAACAATGTCATTAGTTATGCTACCTTTTTAGTTTTGTCATTGGAGAGATTTTTCTGGACTTTTTCTCTTATGCCGCATTCTTGAATTATGGCCTTTATTGAGAAAGTTGCACACTTTTACCCAATGTAGTTTAATACTTGCTTGGTTTTTGGTTGTTGTGTTTTCTGATACTGGGATTGAACCCATGTCCTTGATACTGAACTATATCTTCATCCCTTTTTAAATTTTATTTTTTATTTTGAGATGGTCTCGGTAAGTCACCAAATTGCCCAGACAGGGCTGAAATGTGGCAATCCTCTTGCTTCACCTGGGATTACAGGTGTGCACCACCATGCCTGACTTGTTTCAATATTTGTGTTGTCAACATAAACTGGATGTTACATAAAGAGGCTTTCCAAAGAAAAAGAGTTTAATCAGGAGTGAGTGATTGCAATCCAGAGTGCACACATCATGGCATACCATGGGTGAGCTATAGATGTACCCAAGAAGGCAAAGGTTTTAAAGGTAAAATGAGGATGGTTACACAGCTGTTTTTAAAATTATCCTTGGTGTAAAGATCACTAACAAAAGTATCAGTCCAAAGTTGGTCAGGCATTTGGTGAATAGGCATCTTCAGAGAAGCATTTTTGTATGTGTATATGATTGGTCTTTGTGCAGGTTGTGCTTTGGGCGGAATCTTTTGTGATAGTTCCTCTTAAGAGCTATTATGAGGCAAATATGATGAGCCCCCCCCCCCCCGCCAATCATGGCTTCCTGACTTCATTAGGATTTGACATAAATTATTCCATTTTGATTCTGGCAATTTTTATGATATTTATTTTAAAAGTATAAACATATATTATGCATTTTACATAGGTAATCAGAAGTTATAATGTTTATCTCCAGAATAAATAATCTTAATTTTTTTTATCATTCTTAGGTGCTCTGTAACAGGGCCAGACTGGTTTCTTACCTCCCAGGATTTTATTCTTTAGTTAAAAGAGTTGTCAATCCAAAAGCCTTTTCAACAGCAGGATCTTCAGGTTCTGATGAATCTCATGTGGCCACTGCACCCCCAGATATATGTAAGTGAAAGATACTGCATTTAATACACCTGACCTACCAAATACCATAGTAACACAGTAGTTGATGGAGTTTTGGTTATTTATAGTGACCATATAACTCACTATTAACTGAGTCTCAGCCTGGCATCAAGAGAGATTACAGCATATTGCTTGCCAGGAAGAAGATCAAAATTCAAAGGTTGGTGCCTAGGGCTTTCACATTGTAAAGTCAGAATGTCATGTTTAAACCACCACAGATCAGGGACTGTTTTCCAAAACTTATTTCCTGAATTTTAGTTTCTTTCCTCAAACAACACAGTCCTCCCTGAAACAAATCTTTTGATCCATTAAAGTATTACATCTCGCCATTCTTGAAAAATTTCTTAAATGTAGCTGACAGGTTTTATGTATAGTATGCATTCAGTGATTTACCTGCTTACCTATAAAGTTTTCTTCTAATCTGTTTGGCACAGCCCTGCTATGCTGATGAATTTTAACTTATGTATGTATTTATGTATTTATTTTTTAAATGTACTGGGAATCAAACTCAGGACCTTGCACTTGGAAGGCAGGTATAGTGCCTCTGTGCTGAATCCCCAGTCCTGATGATTTTTAAATGTTTTGTGTCCCTTTCTTAATAAACCTTGATTATTTCTCATTGCTTTCAACAACAAATCTCAAATTATCCTCAAGCTATGAGTCATTGGGGTTTGGCGGTTATTTTGTTGTTGTTGTTGTTTAAGAGGATTCTGTAGTTAGGTAAGTTTGAGAATGCTACATACTTATCATTTCTAACTTGAAAAAAAAATTTAAATTTTTTGTTAGTACATGTTTGTAGTATATTTAATTCCTTGTGGGGAGTTGGTACATGTATTTAACACGTCTTGATTACTTTTTATCATTCCCTTTGCCTTCCCCTTCTTCCCCCTCCATCTCTTGGTCCCCTTCCCTATTGCAAAAGATCTATCTCCCTATTTTCCATTATCTGTCTTTTACTTTGCTCTTTATTTATATTTTGGGTATCTCATATAAGAGAAACCATGTGATGTGTAGGCTTTTATATATGATTTATTTCAAGATTATGGCCTCAAGATGAATCTATTTTTCTACAAATGACTTGTTTGTCCTTTATGGCAACTCCATTGGGTATAAATGCCACATTTTTTATCCATTCATCTGTTAGTGGACATATATTATAAATTGTGCTGCTATAAGCATAAGTATGCATGTATCACTAATATGATGCTTTAAACTCTTCCAGGAAGATAGCTAGAAGGGGAATAGCTGGGTCAAGTAGAATTTTAATTTTAGTTTTTGTAGACTCTCCATATTGATTTCTGTAGTAGTTTTATTGCTTTACACTCCCACCAACAGTGTAGAAGAGATCCCTTATAGCTGCATCCTTGCCAGCATTTTTATTATTTGATATCTTGATGATTCACATTCTGGAGTAAGATGAAATTTTTGTGGTTTGTTTGTTTTGGGACTGGGGATGAACTTGGGACCTTGTGCTTGTGAAGCAGGCAGTGGAACCACTGAGCTAAATCCCCAGCCCCAAATTTCTGTGTTTTAATTTGCCCTTCATTAATGGCCAGAGAAAGTGAACATTTTTTCCATATATTTATTGGCCATTTTTACTTCTGTAAAGTATCTATCCATTTTGGTTGCCCATTATTTGAGTGAGTCTTTTATTTTGGGGAGGGTCTAATTTTTTTGAGTTCTTTGTATATTCTAGATGAGTCCTCTATCAAATAGCTGGCAGAAATTTTTGCCAATCTGCAGGTTTTCTTTTCACTGTTCTTTTGCTGTGCAGAAGCTTTTTAATTGATGTAATCCCATTTGTTGATTCTTGGTACTGTTTCATGTGCAGCCAGGGTATGTTGAGATGTCCTTGTCTATGCTTGACTTCAGAGCTTAACCTGTTTTTATCTTCCACAAGTTGTTTCAATTTTAGCATTTAGCTCTATGGTACATTTTGATTTAATACATGGTGGGAGATAAAGGTTAGATTTAGACTTCTGCATTTGCATAGCCACTTTTCCCATTACCATTTATTAAAGAAGTTATCTTTCCTCCAGTGTTATGTTTTTGGCCCTTTTGTCAAAGAGTAAAAAGTGGTGCTTGCAGTTGTTGCTGCATGCTTTATTCTGTTCCATGAATCCACATGTCTGTTTTTGTGCCGATGCTCTTTTAATCTCTCTAGCTCTGTAACTTCAAGTTCTGGATTATGATGCCTCCTGCTTCACTCTTGCTGTCTTGGATTGCATTTGCTATTCTGGGTCTTTTCTGGTTCTATATGAATTTTTGGATTGATTTCTCCATTTCTATGAACAATGATGTTGGTATTTTGATTGGGATTGCATTAAATCTTCGTATCAATTTTGGAAGTATGGCTATTTTGACTGTTTCTGGCTGTACAGGAACAGGGGATTTGTTTCCACTTTCTGCTATCTTCTTTGATTTCCTTTTTCAGAGTATTACAACTTTCATTCTAGAGATCTTTTACTTCCTCCGTTAGGTTAATACCTAAGTGCGTGTTACTTAGCAATAAAATAATTATTTTTAATACCCTGCCATAATTCATATCTGAAGATGGCTACATTGATATGTCTGCCTCATTGCTTGATTGTGAATGCCATCATACTCCTCTCCCAAACCTAATAACAAACAAGACCCAGCAACCATGCAACTTTTTCCTGCTGACCTGTCTCAAAATTCTCAACCCACTCTAGCCATATGTTTCTCAAACTTTAGAGTGCTTAAGAATCATCTGGGATCTTGTTAAAATGTAGATTTGATTTTGTAAGTCTGGAGTAAGGCTCAGGATTTTACATTTCTAACAAATTCCCAGATGATACGGAGTAACAGATCCAGGCAACCACTAAGATTGACTGGAGTCAATTCATAAAATAAATCTGTTAGCTATTTCTGCACAAGACAAGTTTTAAAGACCACTATGGTCTAACAGCCTCAGGTTTTCTCTAAAGAAAATAAATATTCCACATTAATAGTGGATTTGAACACATTTTCAGTATTAGTAACTTGAGAATTTCTTTTTTGTGAAAGAGCTGTTCATATGCTTCTATTTGATTTTTATTTGGGTTGTCTTTTTCTTACTGATCTATATTTCAATCTCATAAGAGCCATTTATGACAAACCTACTACCAAACCAACATCATATCAAATAGGGGAAGACGAAAAGCTTTCCCTCTAAAATCAGAAACAAGACAAGGATGTCCACTCTCACCACTCCTGTTCAACATAGCCCTGGTAACATTTGCAAGAGCAATCAGGCAAGAAAAAGAAAGGAATAAATGTAAGAAAGGAAAATATTATTATTTGCAAATGACAAGATCTTGAGAAGATAAAAAAATTCCACCAAGACTCCTAAACAATCAAATTCAGCAGTGTAGCAGGATACAAAAATCAATAAACAAAAGTCATTTATTCTTTTACAGCAGTAGCAAATCCATGGTGAAAAAAAAAACACTTAAGATAGCACTGAGAAAAATCTGCCTGCATCCCTGTTACTCCATATCATCTGGGAATTTGTTAGAAGTGTAAAATCCTGAGCCTTACTCCAGACTTACAAAATCTACATTTTAACAAGATCCCAGATGATTCTTAAGTACTCTAAAGTTTGAGAAACATATGGCTAGAGTGGGTTGAGAATTTTGAGACAATTCAGCAGGAAAAAGTTGCATGGTTGATGGGTCTTGTTTGTTATGTTTGGAAGAGGAGTATGATGGCATTCACAATCAAGCAATGAGGCAGACATATCATTGTAGCCATATTCAGACATTAATTATGGCAGGGTATTAAAAATAATTATTTTATTGCTAAGTAACATGCACAGCATTGTCCATCTTTTTCTCTAAACCAAACGTATTCTTGAGTGTTCATTGGTTTAATTTCCAACTTTATTCTTTCTGGATCTTTATGAATTTTTTATAAATTAGTATATTTTTTAAATTGTAGGCAAATGAAGTAATGTAGTCTGTTCATATTTATAATCTCTATTAATTCATGCAGCTTTTAAACACAGGATTATGTCACGTGAAACATGATTTTTCCCCTGGTCCGTTAATGCTGTGTCCCCCCCAACACCCAGGATAACTACTGTTAAATTTAGTGTCTTTCCTTTTAAATCTTTTTCTCTTTACTTAAAAATAGAAATATAAAGATATAAATGTTATTGTGCTATTCTTGATACAGCTTTTTCTTTTAATGCTGTATGGACTTCACTTAGGTCAGTCAGTACATAAACATTTACTTTATTCTTTTTGTTTTTATTTTGTTTTGTTACCGGGGATCGAACTTGGATCCTTGTGCTTGCAAGGCAGGTATCAGAACCGCTGAGCTAAATCCCCGGCCCTGGTTTACTATATTCTTTTTAATGACTGACATTCAGTATATGAGTTACAGCACTTTTCCCCTAATAATGGATCTGCCTGTGAGCCAACAACTAGTTGTTGTGATCAGCATTTTGGAAACAACAACAAACTATATTTATTCAAGAAAGCAGATTTCAAAGATCTGTTTTTAAAACACATACATTGTAAGAAAAACATTCAGGCTCCCTGTGTGCTTGACTTTTAGAGAAAAAGATTGCTTTTGTTGTTCTTTTTTAGGCTCTCGAACAGTGTGGCCTGATGAAGCTATGGGACCATTTGGACCTCAGGATCAGCGTTTCCAGCTTCCTGGAAATATAGGCTTTGATTGTCACCTCAGCGGGACTGCTGCACAGAAAAAATGCCAGGTTCATAAAACTTTGCCTGATGTTCTAGCAGAACCATTATCAGCTGAAAGACATGAGTTTGTGATGGCACAATACGTAAATGAATTTCAGGTAAACTCTCATTCTTGTCATTAATTTTCTAATTAAATGTGTATTTTTTATTACTCTGAGCATATTTTATTGAAAAAAAAATCAATCCCAATATGTACAAAAACAACATAAATAGCCTTAAAGTACTTGATGTTGTCTAAGTTATAGCATATTTGCTGTATAATTTTATTTAACTTTAGATTATTGTCTCATTTAGGTAATTCTTTAAAAATACATTTTTAATAATTTGCAAATACAGATAATTTCACTTTCTATATTTCATTTTTTAAAATTACAGTAACAATGTAGACTTAATTCTAACCAGCTTTACATTCCTGTAGCCATTTAAAAACTTAAAAATTTTGAGATCTCTGAAATTGTTCATATATACTAAACAAAAACACTGTAAATATTTGAGTATTTAAACAATTTCTGAGGAGTTAGGGTTAATTTTTCAGTTGTGTTTAAGATTTTAAGCTGGTATTACATCATTGCTTCATTCAGGGAATGCTACATGCAATTTAGGGCTTTAGTCAAATACCTAATGTTCATTATTTTCACTTTTCTACATAATTTCAGGCAGTTTTAAATTAAAGCCGTGTAATTAGGAACAGCAGTTCCTTACTGACATCAGACAACCTGACATTGGGCACAGTATACTTCTCCTGTCTTTCTTACTCTTCCTGGCTCTTTGGGTCCTCTGCTTATCAATTAAATAGTATTTCCCATAGGTTTCTGTCCTCTATCTTCTAATTTAAATTACTTTTTGGCCAAATGTGGGTGGCACATGGCTGTAATCCCAGAACTTGGGAGACTGAGGCAGGAGGATTCGCTGCAAGTTTGAGACCAGACTTACTTAGCAAGACCCTTTCTCAAAATCATACATATATACATAAATAAAGTCCCAGTTTTTGCGTGGTAAAAGAAAATGGCTATGTAACCCACAGTTTAAAGGAGAGGTTTATTTGGCTTGTGGTTCCAGGGGGCTCAGTCTATAGTTTATAGTTAGCTGGTTCCAAGGCAGAAAAGCATGGTGGAAGGAAGGACCTGGTGAAAAAAGCTGCTTAATTGATGGCAGCCAGGAAGCAGAGAGAAGGGAAGAACCAGGGACTAGAACACACCTTCCAGATCATGCCCCAACTAGATCACATCTGTGAACACAAAATTTTTGTGGTACATTTTAGATCAAAATCATAACATTCCTCCCCATCCCTCAAAAGACCTATGTCTATCTCATTAGCAAAGTGCATTTAGTCTGTCTCTGAGTAACCAAAGCCTTAACAGTTACAGCACTGTTGAAAAGTCCAAGTCCAGTGTCTCCTCTGAGACTTAAGGCAAACTCAGCTGTGACCCTGGTAAAAAAGTTAACTACCTTCAACATATAGTAGCACAAAATAGACATTCCAATTCCAAAATGGAGGACTGGGGATAAAAAGGAATTTGATCAAAGTAAGATGAAAACCCATTAGGGCAAATATTAAATCTCATAGTTCATGCCCAGCACCTCTGTTGTTATGAAATTTAAACCCTGAAGGGCTTGTGCAGCCCTGTCTCTGATCTTTCTTACCACTTGTAGCCCACATGGCTTCTCTTTGGGGCTACTTCTGTTCACAGCCTGCAGCTTTGATCAACAGATGTTCCATGTTCCTGATGTCTCCATCTTCCTGGGGTCTCCATTGCACTTTAAGCTTCATTGTCACAGCTTCACACACTACCCCCTCAAGGGCATAACCCCTGGCCTCCCACAGTTTTTTCTGGATCTGAGCAGAAGCCTCCGTAATCTCACAACTTTTGAATTTAGCATTCCTGAAAAACCAGCACAAGTGTGACACTAAGGTCTATCAGATGACCTGATATTAAGATATGTCATTGAGACATGTCAGCTCGAGGAATAGCTGGGCCCTGATGGAACATGGCTTCATTGGTCCTGAGTGCCTGGATGGTTAAATTTGGGGAAGCACTTCTTAGGTGACTTTAAATGAGAGGGGCACCCTGGGGCTCTCCTCTCAAAGTAAAGTGTTTCAAAAGTGTTTACATGGGGCAGGGATTTAGCTCAGTGGTTCTGGCAACTGCCTCGCAGGCGCAAGGACCTGAGTTTGATCCCCAGTACCAAAAAAAAAAAAGTGTTTACAGTTTTACACCCTTGAGCCTATGAAGGAAAATTCACTGCATCTTTGACATCCAGGAAACAGAAAAGAGACAAGAGTGCACCCTTTGTAGATCATGCCAGTAGAGTCTTGACTCTTCCAGCCTGGCCCCACTTCCCAACATAGGATTTTGTGGGGACATTTTAGATCTAAATCATAGCAAAGACATATTTTTTTAATGGAAATACATTGTGGTTGGAGTGCAGAGAAAGACAAAGTAGTGGGAAAGGCTAGGGATAAAAATTGTAGAAGGCCATTTATGCTATATTAAGGTAGGAAGTAGTTCTTTTTTCTCTCAAAACCTGTTCTTATTCCCATATAACAAACAGTAGTATAGCCAAGTTGTACCTAGAGAAAAATATACTCCAACCTTGACTCTGAATTTACATCAGATCCTCATAAGTGCTGTCAGAGTTACATTGCTTCTTTCTGTATAATTTCTGCTTGCAGTTCTTTGCAAGAGTTCAAGATTTATTTTATATGGATTGAGAGGTTTTTGTTGTTTTTTGGGGTTTTTTTTGTTTGTTTGTTTGTTTTTTGAGATAGGGTCTCACTCTGTAGTTGAGACTGACCTGGAACTCACTATGTAGCCCAGGCTGGTCCTTAACTCAGCAATCCTCCTGCCTCAGCCTCCCTAGTCCTGGGATTACAGGCATGCGCCACCACGCCCGGCTGAGAGGTTTTTTTTTAATAGGATGATGGACCATGGAAAGGGAATAAAGTTAAGTTTTAAAGTTTGGCTCTGTGAAAATGTATGTAAAGCACTTAAATCCACTAAATAATGTTGGTTAACTAGTTTATTACCTGTTCTGAGTTAACCATACATCCTCTACCTTAACTCTAAAATTAGTGTTTTATATTTGATCTTACTATTTCTTATATTTTATAGGCCAAAATCATGATTTCTTATTGTAGCATAAATGGCCGTTCACAGTTATGATCTCTTACCTCTTCCATCTTATTTTTCACTACTTCTTTTCCTGCACTGTTATCTACAACATACTTCCTTTTAAAAAAAAATGCGATTCTCTTTCACTATTGTGTACTTTCGTTGCCCCCCCTTCTATCTAGGTGGTTTTCCTCTTTTGCTAGATGTTTTTTCCTTCTGAATTCCCATCCTGTATTCTACTTATTCTTTATCAAACACACATTAATAAATACATACCTCAAATATGACCATTTCAACATTTTCCTGGTTCCTCCCAGCAAAGCAGGTTCCTTCCTTATCTGTGTCCCTAGACTTTCTTCTCCATTTTGAATTGCGTTTATTTCTTGTGCTTTTTTTTCTCTTAATTCTGATACACTTGAAAGTAAAAACTGGATTTTTTTTTTTTTTAAACCATTACAGTGTCTCCTTCTGTCAGTGCCTGATGTATTATACACTCCCAAATTTCCGTTGAATAAAGACCACTAAGTCCTTCCTGTAGGGGAGGCTATATTACCCTGTTACTTTTTTAAATTAATGTTCTCATCCCAGTTTTGGATTATAGCACAAAAAGAGATAGATATTATTTTAAAATATCGGAAGATGGTAGCATTATAAGGTACAATTTATGCTGTTTTAGTTTCTTAGCCAATTTTAGTTTATATCCAGTCCTAGAATGTCAGTATATTTGCATGCTGTTTTATTCAGAATTTCAACATTTCAGATCATATATTCCTCTTGGACAGAGGTTTTTTTAATATAGAAGCAGGCATTACCTCATGGATGGGTGGTGTGTTTTACTGGTAATTGAACTCAGGGCCTTGTGCTTGCCAGGCAGGTGTGGTGCCACTGAGCAAAATCCCAGGCCCTAGTTAGGATTATTTTTAAAAACTTTGCTAACAAAATAACTTATTAAAGATGTGTTATTTTCTTTTAACTCTAGCCTTTGTTTACTTAAACCTTATTTCCCATAGGGTAATGATGCACCTGTAGAACAAGAAATTAACAGTGCAGAAACTTACTTTGAAAGTGCCAGAGTTGAGTGTGCAATCCAAACATGTCCAGAATTGCTGCGAGGAGGTACGTCATACTTTATACTTTGAAATACTAATGACTATGAGATAGATAATATTGTTAGTATTTTAATATATTGAAGGAATAATGTATTCTTTAGGAATTTTAATGCTCTGTATCTTAGTGTGTCTGAAAAAGATTGCATGTCCAAAATAAAGGCTATCAGATATATCCTAATGTCTGCCTTCTTGCTGCAATTATGTAGAAATAGTAGAATTTTAATAACTTTTTACCTACAGCTTATTATTTCTGCTCCTGGTTGATGATTTTATTACAGTTTCATGAGCTAATATAAAGTACAGAAAATCTGAAAATTAAATTAACAGCAATAACATGTAACTGTATTTACCATTCAGGCTTTTTGGCAGTTATACTTAAGCTCATCCCACAGAAGCAGAAGTGATCTAAGTTAGTTTCACTCTTCAAACGTAATATGCATCTATAAAAAATAACTTAGTATACAAAATCTTAATAATCATTTTCTAAAGGTATTTTTTAATGAACTGTATCTTTTTTAAAAAGCAAATTATTTTCTTCTTGAAATCTGTATTCATATTTGCAGACTTTGAATCATTATTTCCAGAAGTGGCTAATAACAAACTAATGGTTCTGACTGTAACACAGAAAACTAAGAATGATATGACTGTTTGGAGTGAAGAGGTAGAACTTGAAAGAGAAGTACTCTTAGAAAAGGTAATTCTTTCAGTTGCTTGCAATTTCATTTTATGGTCTTATTTAAATACCACTAAACTAGTGTTCTTAAATGATTAGTGTTTTTCAAGCCTTTAGTCATATTGTGAAGGGTTTCAATGCTAAAGAACTTACATGTCTTCTTGAAAATAAAAATGCCATACTGTTCTTTGTTGCTTTTAGTACCCTTCAGATACTCAGACTTTCCTGAATTTTTCTGAAATATTATGTAGGAAATTTAGATAAGATGGTAAAAAAAAAAAATCAACAAAAAAATGAAAATAGCAGTCTCCTTTTCTTTCTTCCAGCTCCTCTTTCCTCTGTGTTTTAAAGTCTTTCAGATGAACATGAAAATTGCCCCAGTCATTTCTAAGAATTAAACAACCAGTGAACAGCATGATATAATACAATATTAAATACTATATATTTAAGTAGTAACTTAAAGTCTCATAACGTAAAACTTTATATACAAGATCAAAAGAGAGTATTCCTCTACTTATATGACAGATTTTTTACTCGTTTGGGCACCCTGGCTAACTTGAGTTGAAAAATCCTCTTTACTGATTTTCACACAGGTTAATGTTAGCAATTTTCTGTAAGGTTGGATGTAGGTTCTATTCATTTCTAATAATATATTGTAATTTATATATTCAGTAATACTTTATGATAATAGCTATATGTGAATGTCCCATGTAGAGCTTTCTAATAAGTTTTTATGTAGTTAACAATTATGAGCATATTAGTTGTAACTAACGGAGAAATTATAGAGAGTCATAAGACATCATCTCTGATTTTATGATCTGAATATAGTTGGAATTTAAATAGCCAATCAGAAATAAACATTTTTATTTACACCTTAAGGAAATGCATAGTACATATATTCTTACCACTGTTTTGGGGCTATATAGATTTATCATATATAAATTGCATTAGAAGTCCTAATTTCTTGATCAGTTAAAGATTATAAGCTTAGGTCTATGTCAGTTATCTATAAGTTAGAGTGCTTTGAAATGACAACATCCTTCATCTTGAAATTTACAATTTTATAATATTGCAACAATCTATTTCTATTAAAAAAAGATGTTTCAATTAAAGTATGTTAATGATTATTTTGGAACCAGGCCTAGCCTAATCTCCAAGTAGGTGTTTTAATGCTTTTAAAAAACCAGTTGTATTTTTTTCCAGCAGATGTCAGTGTTTGCTGTTGATGAACAGAAATCTTTTTTTGTTTGTTTGTTTTGTTTTGTTTTTGGTACCAGGCATCAAACTCGGGTCCTTGCTCTTGCGAGTCAGGCTGCAGAACCAAATCCCCGGCTCAATATGTATCTCATTTTACAAGTAAGAGAAAATAAGTTAGCTTCAGGGGTGTGCTTCTATAGTAGGGATCAGCAGAAGTTTTATGTGAAGGACATCAAAAGATATAATTGTAAACAGTTTAGTTTTGTAAAAAAGAAAAAACTGGTCAAATTTAACAGTTTATCTGAGTAAAGATGTAGGCATGGGGTAGCCCTCAGAATTAGTTCAGAGGGCTGCACCCTCCAGGGTGAGTAGGAAGTACTTACAGACAGAAAATATATGGGATTCCACACACAGTTTATAGTTAATAGCTGTGAGATTGCCTTATTGACCATAGTATGACAGTTGGCAGCCAGCAGTTGACTGATAATCTACTACTTGTTAGATAATATATTCCTAAATGAGGTTTTCAGTTTTAATTATAAACTAATTTTGGTTGCAGTATGTTAAGTTGCTATTAAAGTATCCAGGCAGCCTCAGGCCAAATTAATTCAACAATTTAGAGATCTAATTGGTTCTCTACAAGCAGCAGGTTGGGCTGAAGAAACTAGAAACAGCGAAGGCAAAGCAGATTGCTCCTTTCAAAGTTACTTTGCTTACATAGTTAAAGAGGACTTTATGCTGGTTCAAGTAATGTAGGCCCCCTTTGGTTGCTGTGAATCTCTTGGCTTTTTTTTTTTTTAACTGCCTTATTTCAGGGTTAGTTGATTATTGAGTATGTGGCACATAGCATGAGTAACTCCATTCTGGTTTGTTCTAGTCTGCTGGTACCTAGTACCAAAACAGTGGCTTCCCACAAACTCTGTTTCATAAGGTTAAGACAATAAATACGGTACATACTGTAGTCTTCCTTTACCAACAGGGCAGAACATTCAAGATCCCCAATGAATACCTGAAACTGAATAATATGGAACCCTGTATATACATACACTGTTTTTTTCTTAAGCATACATACTTATGGGAGTTTAATTAATTTAGGTACAGTAAGTGATTAATAATTATAGCTAATAATAAAATACAACAATATACTGTAGTGAAAGTTATGTGAATGTGGTGGTCTCTGTCAAAATATCTTACTATACTTAAAATTTTTAAAGGAAGCTTTTCTGGCATATCCTACTTGTTACCATCACTGTTCTTGCATTTGGGGGTCATGGTTAAGTAAAATAAGGCTAACTTATATACAGTCACTGTGATACCTAGACAGTCAATCTGATCGTGAAGGCAGCCACTAAATGATGAACAGACAGGTCACACACACAGTATGAATCTGCTGGACAATGGATGATTTACATCCCAGTCAGAATTGAGTAGGATAATGTGAAATTTCACTGTCTTAAACTACTCAAAATGGTATGCAATTTAAAACAATGAATTATTCATTTCTAGAATTTTCCATTTAATACTTTTAGAGACCAGTTGACAAAAGGTAACTAAAACCACCAAAAATGGGATAGGGAAAGTGCTGTATTAAAGGTATTGTAGGCCATTGAATCATCCCACATACAGCCTTAAACAGCAGTGTATAAATGAATAGATATGGCTGTGTTCCCATAAAACTGATAATACAAACAGGCAACAGCCTAGATTTAATCCTGGGGTTAATAGCCTGGCAGTTTCTAATTTTGCCTATGTCCTTCATTCCTTAGTCTTGGACTTCTGAGTACTAGCTGTAGGCCAGACAGAGATCCTTAGTGAAATCTTTTCATTGGGTGGGCCAGAAGTCTGTTATTTCCTAGCACTGTGTGATCTCTCGTTATCACCACTCAGTTCTGAGGCTCACATCTGGCAGTCGGTGCTGTGCCTCTCAGAATCTTGCCTCCTCCTCACACAGCTCAGCCCTTTGCTAAGGAACCTGGGTAAATTGCTCTGTAGGCTATTTAGGAGCTACCTTGGTGTATCTTGTCTTCTATAGTATTCTCCAAATTCCATGTGCTTCAGCAGTCCAGAACATTTGCTTTCTACCTTAGCTCGGTGACACCATCATTTTGCTTGGGCTCCGTTTTGTCCATATTTCAAAAGAAAAGGTCCTTGCACAAAAAGCTGGAACAAATACGAGGATCATTTATTTCACTTCTCAAGGACTACAGCCCTGTCTGTTGTTCAGTGTCTAAAAATAGTTGCCTTCTGTACATTTTGATCAATTGCAGGACAGTGAGTTCAGTACTTATTACCCTGTTAGAACTAAAAGTGAAACTGTGCCCTTGATAAACATTTATGGTCCTTTTTTTTTTTTTTCTGGATATTGGGGATTGAACTGAGGACCTTACGCTTGCGAGGCAGATGGCATCACCGAGCTAAATCTCCGGCTCTCATGATCCCTTTTTTTAAAAGCACTACTTTGCTAACACCTTTTCACTACTTACACTTACAGTAAAGATAATATAAACATTATAGAAATTAGGCTGATAAGACTCAAATTTTGATACATAGCAGTTAAACACTTACGATATACATGGGGAAGCCCAACATGGCAGTGGCACATTATCTGTAACCCAGCACTCTGGGAGGCTTTGTTGGAGAATCACAAGTTCAACCCCAACCCTGCCCAGACTTAGCAAGACCTTGATTCCAAATAAAAGATTGGGGAATGCAACTTAGTGCAGAGGCCTTGGGTTCAATCACCAGTACTACCACTAAGAATAATACATGGGCTATATAAAAAAAAATGAGGATCCTTGTTACTCTTCTACTCCATATATCCAGTTCACACTGTGCCTTCTCAGAAGCATTTCATGACTTTTTAAAGGGACAAATTACATTTTGAAGGGTGCAAAAGCAATTAAAGGTTTTTTGTTTTTTTAATTGAGTTTATTGGTACATTTTAGGTATACAGTACAGTTACATTCATTATTGGGATCTTGTACCTTTACATGACAGGTCTTGGTTCTCATTTTTCCCCTTGTCCCTGCCCTCCCTCTACCCCCTCTTTTCCTCCCCATTTACGAACACTTTATTTCCATCTTTTCATTTTTTCACGTTTTTCTTTTCCCTTATTACCTTTCCCCTACCCTTCCCACTTTCCCTACACCTTTAGCCCTTTTCTTTCCATTTCACAATGTCAGTTAATTAAGGTTTTTATAACATTCAAATTAATGAAAGCTTCTGATGTTTTCATTATTTCATTTTCTTAACTATTTCTAATTTCCATAATGATACAAAATAGCAACATAGATGTAATTTTTACAAGTTTGTGAATTAATAGTACAAAACTTAGGCCAGGGATGTAGCTCAGTGGTTCTGCCTCCTGCCACACAAGCGCCAGGTCCCAAGTTTGATTTCCAGTACCAAAAAAACAAAACAGTACGAAACTGATAACACATTTCATAAAGTGGAAAATAATACAGAAGAAATATAGAATTTAGATTTTTTTAAAATAAATTAGTTTTGGGGGCTAGGGATTTAGCTCAGTGGTTCTGCTTTCTGCCTCTGAAGCACAAGGTCCAGAGTTTGATCCCCGGTACCCCCAAAAAAGTGCATTTTTTTTTAAAGAAATTAGTTTTGTATTGACCATTCATCTTTTGAAATTATGAAAATCTGACGTCTATACAGTCTATTTTGTGATTTTTAATTTAGTAATTTATTGAGTTCTATACATGAAGCAAATATTTAAAATTTTATTAAATAAAATTATACTTGTGCTATGTTGAACATATTGTTTGTACCTTTCTCTACATAGTTCATTAATGGTGCTAAGGAAATTTGTTATGCTCTTCGAGCGGAAGGCTACTGGGCTGACTTTATTGACCCATCATCTGGTGTGGCAGTGAGTAATTAAATTATTCTGAAAGCCAGATTATTTAAAGTAGTAATAGTTTTTATTATAAAATAATTGTACCTTTGGTAAATACAGATCATTTATAATTTATTGAATATCTTATATTTACTCAGTATTGTACTGTTAGTTGCTTTCAAAACTTTGGAGAGACCTCTTACTCGTAGTTTCATTGATTCTTTATTTTATTAAAAATAAGTTTTTTTCATCCTTAATGGTAGATATGATTATTTACTGTTTATAGTACTGAAAATATAAAATTAGAGTTTATTTACTAAAAATTAGAAATTAATGTTTTCTGGTCTAGTTAAAGAAACTATTTTAAAAGTAAAGAGAATACTGTGTAAATGGTAAAAAAATATTCAGTAACTACTTAGAAATTAATATTTAATTATATAATACTATAAAAGAAAATGACCACCTTATTCCATTTTAAATTCTGAGCATATCTTTCAATTACAAGAAGGAATAAAATCCTTTTTTTAATCTTAAGATAGGAATATGCACTACTTCTTCTGAAAAGCAAAGATGTAATACAGAGTAGAAATGGAAAACTTGTGCTCTGTGCTTTATTTTCCTTACCTTGAAAATGAAGAGGGTAAACCAAGATAATTCTATTAAGCTTCATGCCATCTTTAAAATTTGTATAATATTATGAATTTATTCTCACACGACATTTTTAGACCATGCATATCACATTTCCAGAATGCACAGGTATTGGAGGGAGAGGTGTTAGGACAGTTTCAATAATGAATGTGACCTTTTTATTTCTCATTTAACTTTTTAAATAGTAGGAACATTAAAACAGATTCATGTTTATCCTTGAATAAAAGTTACTATACAATATCTTTCTAATGAAAATATTGCTTGATTTTTTATATCTTCTAGTTTTTTGGACCATATACAAACAACACTCTTTTCGAAACAGATGAACGCTACCGACATTTAGGATTCTCTGTTGATGATCTTGGCTGCTGTAAAGTAATCCGCCATAATCTCTGGGGTACCCATGTGGTTGTAGGAAGTATCTTCACTAATGCAACACCAGACAGCCATATTATGAAGAAATTAAGTGGAAACTAGCAGAAATGTCATTTTATTTGCTCTGCCATTTGTATGTAAATGGATTGATCAATATAAACATTGTCAAAGACTTCACTTTTTAAAATATACTTATTTTGGGTATTTTATTTCAACATATACAGATTTACAGTGTTGCTGAGTGATTGGGATTTTAAAATAAATGTTAATTATTCATACTGTTATTGAATACATGTTAAGCATACCACATTTGTACAGAATGTGGTAATTAACATAAGCGAGGTGTGATTTATTTTATGAAGTCTCCCCTTTATTAGAAAAATCTTAGTTTCAGTTTTTTTCAAAAAATAAATCATACATTTGGTTATATGTGGCTTTTTCATTACAATTTTTTAAAAACTAATTTTTGATTCTTCGAAGTTACATTTTTTAAATTATTTTTTCTTTTAGTAATGTAGTTAATTCTCAGTGTATTATAGGCTTTCCTTTCTCTAATATTCTTTTTCTTTATTGTCTATTATGTGTCCTGGTATTAGTTTGAGTATTACTTTGAAATAATAGATGAGCAACTAAAAAAAGAATAAAGATAATAAATAACATCTTTATATATAAAAGTATATGAATCTCATTCTCCTTTGTGGGGGGCATGGTTATTCTTTTTTGGAGAGGGGTTATTAAGTCCATAGAGAACTGAGTCACATCCCCAGCCATTTTTATTTTTAGTCAAACCTTCACTAAGTTACCAAGAGTAGCCTCAAATTTGCAATCCTCCTGCCTCAGCCTCCCTAGTTGCTGGGATTACAGGTATGTGCCACCATGTGGAGTATGAATCTCATTTTTATGCACTGAATAACTCTTACTCCTGAGTTGAGACAGATAAAAATAAAACATTTTCGGATAAAACTATCTCTTGGCTGCCAGCATTTGCATGATTACATTGCAAAAGTGACTCTTATGACTGTTTAAGTTTTTAGCATTATGAACTTTAAAGAAATTATCTGTCATTTGTGAGGCTTTTGCTAATAGAAAAAAAAATCTCAGGAGAAAAAACAGTGCCAACTGCATTAATTGAAATGAACTTTTTCCTTTGGTAAAATGCCTATTTTTTTTTAAAGGTTACATAGAAATGATTATTTTTTTATTTATAACTCTTTAACTCTTCTGTAATTTCTGGAAAATGGATTATGATCTAAACAGTACAAGCAGTACAAGTTTTTATTCATTATGAAAAATAATTTCTGTAGCATTTTGAAATAAAATTATTGAAATGTGTGTGTGTGTATATATCTATATATAGATATATGCATGCCATAATCCTTGATAAATTTTCATCTTCATCACCAGCGTCCATTAAAAAAAATAACACACACACAACCATTCTTTTCCTTCCCAGGCATTTTCACCCTCTCGCGGATAACTGCTATTTAGATTTCCTATAGTGTAAGTTGATTTTGTCTATTTGATGCTTTATGTCTGTGAAACCATATAATATGTTTACTTTAGTGTCTGGCCTCTATTTGGGCTTTTTCTACTTTACACCATTCTTCTGTGATGTTTCCTTAAAACTTCTGTTTGCTTTAACAATTGTGAAAGGCCATCGACTGATGGAAAATGATATTTACAGGTGGCTGTGGCTAAGTACAGTATTGCAGGGGGGTGCACATTGTGGTGAGACTCCTTTTTATGATTTTGCTAAGAGAACTTCCAGAAACATAGCATGATAAGCAGTTACTTCCAGTTTAAAAATTTCTAAACTGTTACAGCAACAATCAGTTTTGGGGGACTTACTGATGATAATAGTGGAAAGTGAGTATTATGTATTACAGTAAGAAAACACCTCAGGTTTCAGTTTCATCTTGTTCAAGACAGTGAACAAGAAATAATTATTTTAAATTATTCATTTAAACATCACATTGCTATCTTTTAAAATCAGACCAAGCCATTAAATTTTATATTAAATGTGTCACAGGAAAAAGAACAATGAAACTTAAGCTTTGACAAGAGTTTAGGAATTTTGGTAAAGAAGTTAAATGTTGAAAAGGATCTTTTAGATCATTTGCTCCATATCACTCATTTTTTTAGACCAAATGCAAAATGATAAAAGCATGGTCACTTAGCTAATGTTAAGACTGCACTGAAGCTTGGCTGTTACTCCATTATTTATATCCTTTCCATATTTGCTCTTCATGGTTATTAAGAATTCTAATGTCTTATGGAAAATAGCAAAAAGTCGTAAATTTTAAGATAAAAAATTAAGGGTTAACTAGCTGCTTGCTACATGTTTTAGATAAATTTAGGAATTCATTCCGTTGAACTTTCATGCTCAATTTCTTTGAAAATTACTGAAACGTATCAAAAAATTCAATTATAGAATGCTATACTTCAAACAAGTTCTTAAGCTTCATTTAAAACTTCCATGTCTTAGGCGTCCCTAAGTTTAGGTTAATTTCAACCTAAACTTTGTATTTTAACAAAATTCTGCTTTTAGTTCTTTCCTCTTGTTCTCTGATTCTCTGGTGTTTTACGTACCTTTGCACTATTTAAATTTTGAACCAAGTAATTCTTTACTGTGGGAACTGTCCTTTATATTGTAGTGTACTTAGCAGCATTTCTTGTCCTCTGCCCACTAGATAATAGCAGACTCATTGTCATGACAAAAATGTCTCCACATATCACCAGGTTTCCAGTAGAGGACAAAAAACCTTTCATACCTAAAGTCAAATTCACCATCCGGTTCTTATCTGACAACCCTCTAGTGGAGAACCACTGATTAAAGCACCTTCTAACTTAGTGGTCTTCAAGTTTAGTTGTATATTTGGATTACCTGGGAAAACATGTTAATGGTATTGCTGATTTGGCCCTTATCCACAGCCTGAGTTCTTTAGTCCGTTGTCATCGGGAATCAGTACTTTTTAAAAGTTTCTAGGTTCTTTATTCTGTCAGGGTTAGAATCATGAGAATGACTTGAAGTTTAATGAATTAAAAATCTGGCAATAAGAGTAAGCAGGCTACAATCACTGATTTTATAGATACAAGAATGAAGGCTCTAAAGTTTTGCATTAATCAGGCCCAAATCTAGGATTTCTTCTGTCCCCCACTTTAGGAAACCCTTCCTGACCACTCTTCATTAATCTTGTCTTTCCCTTTACTGTATAGTACTTGGTTAACACCACACTATTTTGCATTTGGTTATATTGCACTAGTACACAATTCTTTGGGCTTTGTGTTAAATTTAGTCTCCCATACCTGAGAAGTAGGAATCCAACTTCCTGCTGAAATAGCACAAAATATGCAATGACAACCTTTATTCTCATTGTCTTTACTAACCGGGATATTTTAAACTTTTCATAGCTTTTATTTTTTGTTTTTATCTGCCCTCCTCTCTGTGTCAGTAGAACTCATTTATTACTGGAAGTTATCGTAATCACTTCAAGCCATGTCCATATGATAGTGTACATGTGATTGCCTAATTGATGATATAATACTGTAGTGATGTGATGATCTTTTCAATGTAAATTGGTGAGCCACTTAATATATATGTAGGAAAAGAATATTTTTACTTCCAAATGATTGCAGGTCTACATGGGAAAGGTTAAATAAAGCTTTTAAGGAAAAAGATCGTTATTATTTTGACAGACTTAAAAAAAATCAGAACAGGGTGAAGGGAGGGCAGGGGTAAGGGGAAAAAATGAGAATCAAGACTTGTCATGTGGAGGTACAAGATCCCAACAATGAATGTAACTGTACTGTATCCCTAAAATGTACCAATAAACTCAAAGCTGAAAAAAAAAGTCAGAACACAGCTATACTAGGAAAAATTGATGAACTAGTATTTAAACTTTTAATTAATAAAAAGATATAAAGGCAAAGAAATCTACCAGAATTTATAACGTGTACATTCAGCAATACAGCAGTATACATCTCCAACAAAAGACTCATCCGAAATATACGGAAGTCCTAAAATCAAGCAAAACAAGTATCTACAAAGATACTCAAATGGTCAGTAAACATGATGAGGTGCTTTGCTTTGTAAATCATCAAAAATGCAATTAAACTTGCCACCATACACTACATATCCCTCAGAAGGGCTGAAAGAAAAATGTAGAGCCACTAACTACTGTTGATAGTAATAGAAGATAATACACTGGAAAATTAGGAGTTCTGAGGCTAAACAGTGTAGGTCTTTGCAATTTCACTCTTGAGTCATAGATCAGAGAAATAGAAACATTCAGCAAAAAGCTAGTAGGGGTCTGGGGATTTAGCTCAGTGGTTCCAGTGCCTGCCTTGCAAGCACAAGGACCCGGGTTCGATCCCCAGTACCAAAATTATACATATGTATGTGTGTGTGTACATACACACATATACACACTCAAGCTAATAGGAAGCATGCCAACCAGTGCTGGAATGGACATATCACTTACATGTTCACATAATGCGACGCAATGTAATAATGAAATAAGACTGCTTAGAACATGAAAAAAATTAAAACTGACATGCTAAAGAAGTCAGACCCAAGAGTATACTATAGAATTCCATTAATGTAAAATACGAAAACTGTACTGCTAGAACTCAGGATGGTGCTTACCCTTGGAAGGGAAAGTACTACTGTTTAGATCTGGAAGTCCTTGAGATCATGTATTAAAGGGTTAGTTGCCACTCTGTGGTGCTATTGAAACTTTTGTGGTGCTATTGGAACTTTTAGGAGATGGGCTTAAGTAGAAGGAACTTAGTTCATCAGGGTTGTGCTCATAAAGGGATACTGGGACCCTTGTCCATACTACTACTCTTTGCTTGCCCTAGACAAACTTCCTCCACCACCCCTTCCCATGATGTATTGTGCTGCTACACAAAAGCAATGGGCTAACAGACCATAAACTGAAACTGAGCCAAAATAAACCTTTCCTCTCTTTAAATTGTCTCGTTATTTTTTCCAGCACTGGAAAGCTTAACATCAATAGTAACTGGAAAGGACAAAAGAGATTCTGGAATGTTGAAAATGTTCCTTTTTTTTGAATTTGGGTTTTGGCTGTTTCAGCACTCTAGTTGTGTAAATTTAGGTGCATGTTTTTATACAAAGTATAATGAAAAATGCAACTGAATGCTGTTTAAATAGTGATAGAACCTATTCAAAAATATCTGGTACCAATAAGGGCTCTTAAACTGAATCCACTTTTTAAAAAATTAAAATGTATAGTTAACAGGAAATTTTGAAATGATATTGTATCTTTCCTTCTTAAATATGTACTTAGGTATAATTTCAACTGCATTGATGATTACATTTAAGCAAAATATCTGCAAAGTATTTCATTTTTTTACAGTATTGTGATATGTGTGTGTTACATTTTTTGTGTAAAGTATGATCAACTTTGCCCTGAATTTTAAGAGTTTTTTTGAGAACTTTTTAATCCTTGGGTAGTTAAATCATTCTTTCTTAGGGTTCCTAACATTCAGCCCTCTCTAGATTGTCTTTAATTGTTAACAGATGTAACAGTTTTTCATCATTTTTAGTTACTTCATGAAGTGCTGAGCACATTCACAATTTTATTTCAGTATTTTTATATCAAATGGCATAGTCATTAACTTTGCTTCTGTAGAACAAAAGCAGGCAAATGAAGGAAGATTCAGTGCTATAGTCTGCTTTGATCTCATTCTGTATTAAAAATAGAAGCTCTATTGTTTTAATTTTGTTATGTAGGGTTACATTTAAATTGCAATTTAAGTATTTTATTATAAAGATTTTATTTTGTCATTACAATGAGTGACAATACAAAAATAGGCATTAAACTCTGGTGTATATTCATAGTCTATGTTATGACTATATATTCCATCTTGTTACAAATTGAATATTTGGTAGTTTTTGTAATATGAAGTCATTCTTGTCATAGACATTTGAAAAAGTGTCAGCCAAAAGGTCTAGGATTATTACTGGTGGAATGCTTGAGCACAGTTCTTGTCCCATAAATGTTTCAGAATAAATGTGACATTGATGCTCAGTAACTTAGTGATGGTTCAGAACAGTAAGCCTAGAGCTCTGTCCTGGTATCCACTGTAGTTCAGCAACCTTTTGTGTGGAAGCCTCCAATTACTTTCAGATGAGTTCAACCTGTTTTATAATTATAGCACTGTTTAATTAGCATGGTTGGAAGAGTATATTTAATGAAATACTGCCTTTCTCACAAGTATTCAATCGTACATACCAATATTTTTAAAATATTTTATCTGAAATTCAAAATTACCTTAATGTTGTCCATTTTATTGGGTAAATCTATTGACCATGAGTGAATAAAATTTACTATCAAACAGTAGTTTTATTTAATAAGATTGTAGAGCAATAGAAACAGAATACCAAAGTACATTTTAAAAAAGAAGAGACAATACCTGCTAAAGTTAAAAAGGGTACAGGCTTTGAGTTCCCTGAAAATCATTGTTTTCACAGTCAAACCTCTTTGGCTCATCCATTTATTTTAGGATTTTGCCTTTTGAGTGTTCAGTAGGTCATTGTCCCTCTGTCCTGTTTGTTTTAAAAGTGTGACTAAATTAGACACATTAAAATCAGGAATATTTTAGATTTTTATTTTCTACATTTTTATTTGATTATAGAAAGACATAAGATCCATTTATCACTGTCTTCCTTTACTCTTGTCTGAAGTCATTTTAAATAGTGCAGACTCCCATCTCCAGTGTCACACAAGCTTAATTGTCAGTTACAAGGTTTGTTGCCACTTAAACTGAGTTAAATAACTAGTAGGGTCAAAAGGAAGACATTGCTTTGGTACCGAGCATGCTGGGAAAGAAGGGGAAACTATGTTTATTGCAGTATAACTAAGCTATAGTAATGAGATTTTCCTGTATTAAGCTTGAGTTAGTTAAAATATCTTCTCAGAGTCAAGTGGTCATTCGTGGGAAATAAATTAACTCTCCTAGGACACTGGAGCATGAGTTAGTGACCTGGAAGAGGCAATTAATGTCAGATGGATGAGCACTTGGCTTTTAGATTGTTCTCCACTTAGAGTTTCCTTAGAGACTAGTGTAGATCAACCCACAGTGTAGTTTTGTATAAATAAAGCAAACTCTATATTAATGCAAGACACTAATAACTCCAATTGGCAAAAATTATTTTGTTATACTGGAAAAAAAAAACATGACAACACACCTTCTTCCAAGCAAATTAGAGGTGAGGCAATAAATTGAAAAACAATTATTATTTTAAGGCTATCAGAACTTCTGACCTCCAATTTACCTTGCCTTGCATTTTAAAATTAAATTTATATTTGTGGCACACACTTGTAATCCCAGCACTTTGGGAGGCACAGGCAAGAATCACAAGATCAAACCAAGCCTGGGCAGGTTAATTACTTAGCAAGGTCTTGGTCCTGCCTCAAAATAAAAAAGAAGGTGGCAAGCTCAAGGGCCCGAGTTCAATCCCTAGAACAAAACAAAACAAAAAAAAAGAAGGGTTAGGGATGTAGCCCTGGGCTCATTGCACAGTGCCACACACAGTTATTTTCACAGGTTAGTTAAAAATATGATAGTATTTTTCTGATATTATGATTATTGTGGAGGAAATCTGAAAATAACTCAGAATAATTAATCCCATAAATGTAAAAATAAATATTAACATCATTACCCTTCCAGTCATTTTACGTAGTAGCTACTCGACCATTTAGTCCTCACCAGCAGGAGGAAATGTTGCAAATCCAGGATTGCTTTTAGCTTTTGGGCTTTCTACAATGGCCCTGCATTACATAGAGAAAAAAATAATCGAATGCTAATATTGAGTCTCTCTTTAATAAACATTAATATTAATGAACATATATAACATTACATGTATATATGCATGTATACACATACTAAAATGAAAATAGCTATGTGAGATGTGTTACCTAACTTAAAATATTTTATTATGGTTTATCCACAAATGAATATCTCAAATGGAAAAGAACCTCTAATTTTGCACTTGCAATTTTGCTGTTTTAAATGGCTCTTTTAGATATTTAAAAAGAGTCGGCTATGATACATTTGACCAGTAGGTGTCACCATCTAATTACTAGAAATTCCTCAAATTTGAGACTTCTGTTTTGCAAAGAATTAAGAGCTTCTGATTTTCTAAAAAATATCTACCTTATCAATTCTGCATTTTAAAATTATAAACTAATCTATTTAGAAAAAGGTATATATATTATATATAACAATATATATAATTAAATGTCATTACTATGAAACTATATTATCTTCAAAATAGAAAACAATGGATTTCCCATCTGGTAACTCCGATTGT